GCCATTGCTCCTGGAAGAATAAAGGACAGTGTGTGATTACATTAATCTCTGCCTGATTCAGGAGTCTCGTGAAAAAATTTACCTTCATTACTCTGTGACAAAAACACACTACTGTATTTTTGATGGGCCTCTGATTTCATTTTCATCCTTTTGTAATCAAGTTTGAGTGTCTTCAACTTGAACAAGCGAGAGAAAAGTTCATTTGTATTGATTTCCCTTCTGAGCCTAAAAAGCCATTTGAGTTTGAATTTGCATGTAAAATCCTGTGTGTGTGTGTGTGTGTGTGTGTGTGTGTGTATGTGTTGGTGTGTTGGTGTGTGTGTGTAGTGTTATATATATAAGCTAGCCTGAATAAGTAAGAAAAGATTTCCCTTCCCTTAGATTGAGGAACCCTGGTAATGTGAGGTCACATAATGGCCTACTAATTGTAAAATCAGCAGTTCTAAACCACCAGCTGCTCCAAGGGTGAAAGACGTGGCTTTCTACACCAGTCAAAAGTTACGGGCTCCAAACCTCACAGGAGCTGGTCTACCTTGCCCTATGGGATAGCTATCAATCAGCATTGATTAAGCGGCAGAGAGTTTGGTTTTGGTCTGTTATATTTGTAGCAAATATATTCTGGACAGTTTTCTTTGTGGAATCATGCAAATTTTAACTTCCACAGTCTTACAAACTGGGATGATTTTATTCAAAGCCTGGTTTCAGGTAGGCAAGGAGGGGAGTTCATTTGGAGTCGTGTTACAGCATGTATATGCAAGGATATCACTTTTCCATCAGATGAATGAAGACAATGGTTCAGACGTAACTAGACTTGGAAATCCTCCTCCTCGATTGAGGCATTTAATTTTTGTTCCCCTCCAGCTCTCAGTAATTCCTCTCGGATACATGGCACTTGTGCAAACCCCACCAGGCATTATACGCCCTCATCACCATCAATTTTAGATCTATTGTTCTTTATTCCCGAGTTTGTTGGCTCCCTGCTCCCCATCCCCACCACTCCTTTCCCATATCCCCCATGACCACCTAAATTTTGATGGTGCCTAAATTTCGTAATCAATGTTGATGCACCCTCATTAAGTCTCATTTACACCAGAGTTCATTCTTGCTGTACAATTCTTTGGGTTTTGCCAAATTCATAATGTCACATATTTTATATCAATTGCACTATTATATCAAATAATTCCACTACCCTGAAAAATATTGTTTGTTCCACCAGTCATGACTCCACCAAACCCTGCAAACAGCTTTTAGTTTCACTGTCACTACAGTTTTCTTCTAAAATGTCATATACTTGGAATCATACAATGAATTTTTTTTTCCAGAATGCCTTCTTTCACTCAGCAATATGCATTTAAAGCTTCTTCCTTTGTTTTCCTCGCATGAGAGCTTGTGTTAGTCT